TAAATTCAAATAGTGTGACCTTCAAAGTGAGAATCTGCAAGATCTGTAGACCCCATCTAGCTAGAGATTGGGTGACCTGCTGAACCCACACAATGAATTTAATAGCGTATTGGAAAGGTAAAGATCTTATTAGGAACAGCACGCTGTGAATCCATTGTCATATACACCTTAACAATTCATTCATCACATTGAGATATTTATTTGAAAGCATAAAATATAGCTATAGGCATCAATCTTACGTTTTAGGCACCTGTCCCATTGGTAAAACACACACAAAATCATAAAAAAGAACTGCCAGTTAATATAAACGACTCAGTTTTCAGCCAACTCTTTTCTCAACAACATGAGAAAAAAAGAGGGAAAATGTGGGCTTTGCCATGTGCCCAGAAGGTTATGAAATCTGGCAGAGCGAGAGCGAGACCAAGTTCCAGAATTGATGGCCCATTACAGGGAACTCCCTGCTAGCAGCTCCTAAATCCCAAACTATTTAGGTCTTTACAGTTTAAATCCAACATGTGAAATTCTACTCTGAAGTTTATTGGAAGCCATTGCAGTGCACAGAGCACTGGTCTTACATGCTTCCAGCGTACAACTACACTTAATAAACAGGCTACAGCATTCTGCCCTAGTTTCACCTTCTGAATGGTCTCAAGTTGTAGCTATAGATCAAGCACATTACAGCAATCTAATCTTAACATGTCAAAGGCATCAATAATTGTGGCAAGAAAAGGTCTCACTCTGCTTGCCAGGAACAGATGGGAAAAAATGTGTTCATGGATACAACCATTACTTGTGCATCCAGAAGCATCTCAGGATCTATCAGCAGGCCCCAAATTGCTCACCTGTTTTGAAAAACCACAGTTGCACTCCCTCAGTCGGGCACTGATATAAATTCCTTCAATTCTTCTGGCTCCTTATTCCACCAGCACTATCTCTGTCTTGTCTGGATTAAGTTGTAACCTGACAATTCTTAATTGTGGCCCAAATTCATCTAGACACTGAATAATTTGTTACATTTAGTAAAAGGTTTTTGATTAAAATTGCCTAAATCGTGCGTGCTGTTCAACTCAGAAGAACCTCCTTAAAAAGATGTTTTGTTTGTTTTTGTAGCACTTTTCTTCTACCTACCTAATCACAAGCACCTTGAGACTGACAAATTAAAATACATATTTTTTTAAAAAAGGTTTGAAGATCCTTTTATTTTTATGATTATAAGCCTCTAATTTTAGTTCAGTTATCTGACTTTATGAGAGGAACTTGCTGCCCAACTTGCCATCCATCTGGCTTTAACATTATTTTCTAAACCCAAAGACAGTCATCAAAAATCAAAGAGAATACACTGATATAGTGCTGTAATTTCATCAACTTCACTTTTACTGGTTTGACTGAATCCTTGGGAAACTTCAGATCAACCAAAGGAACTAGTGGTAAGCTCTCTGGAGGAGGCCAGAAAACTAATGTTACAATGTGGCTAGTGCCCTAGTGCATAGGAAGAGAGAAGAAAAATTGTACTGCCAGGTGTGTGCCTCTACTAGCTAGAACTGAAATGCAGAGCTTCACAATTTCAGTCTTAAGCCCATATGCCACTGTGACAATATCAAGAAATTCAGTACATTTGGCCATAGTGTATTTTTTGTAACTTGTCCTGTTAAAGTACATGTATTGGTCCACAGCAGCAGTGACCAAAGGCATTCTGTCTATAGAGAACTGTGTGCCTTTGGGGGTTGAGGTGGCTATCCTGATAACAAGGGACATCACTTGTGACATATTGAGTGTGGGAGCCATAAATGCCTCCAGTTCACTGGGGCAAGCACTGTGAGCAATGCCTGTAATTATCAGGCCCCATGGGTCTCAAACCCAGGTCCCTGGAGTCATCACACTCTAGTTCTCTACTTGGCAGCTCACAGACTGGAGCTGGGACCAGGGTCCATGAAACCCAAGCGGGGCATGAGCTCTGCTCTACACTCTGATTGGGAGAGATGCAAGACTCCTGGGCTGCAGCCTTTATTTAAGAAAAAGGAAGTTGTCTGTACAACTGAGCTTCACCCTGCCTATGACTGCTGGTCTGGTGTTTATCTGTTCCCGCCTTCTGATCCTGACCTCTTGGTAACTGACTTTTTATCTCTGCCTTCCAGTTTGTCTCTTGGTTTTGATCTCCTGGTGTTACAGTCTGGCCTGATTCCTGGTAATTGGCTCCTGGACCCTTGACTCATGTCTGACACTAATCCTTAGGCCAGGCTTCCCACACCCCGACCCTGATGCTAATTTCTCCTCTGAGTTGCAGCACATGCTCTTCGTGGTGCTGGCCTAAGACTACCAACTGGTGTGCAAAGAGAACTAGACCCTAGCCTTGTGCTTACCTCACCCTGTTTGGGATGTTTGGTGGTGCTATGCTCTTTGGAGGGTGTATAATAGAGCAGGTTGGAACATTTTTGGCTAAATATAATTTTGTCAAAAAATGCTGTTTCACTGAAACATTTCACAGAGACATTGATTTTGATGAAGTTTTCATCCTGAAGGTTTCTGAGATCCAAGATTATCTGATCACTTCTGACCAGAGAGAGAGAGAAGGACCAGAATAGAAAAATAGCGGTTTTGACACAATTTCGTTTTGCGAAAATGTTCAGAAGGGTTATTGCACCTTGGAAGGAAAACAAATTTCAAAATCACAAAAATTGTCATGAAATGAAATTGCTGTCCTCTGGTCCGGTCTAATATTTAGTGCTGTTGGGAATGGGAAAGACAGGATGGACATGCACCTGTATCTTAGGCTCATGAATTATCAACATCAGGTACAGTCTTCCTTTGTGCAAATTCAGAAGTTGTGTGATGTGGAAGGAGGACAAAAGTTCCACCTATCTTCTGTTCTCTCATATGTGCTTATATGGAGGAAATGCTGGAATCCTGCTTGGGACAATGATTTGCAACCCACCCTAGATCTTTTCTCAGGCACCTATCATAGCCTGGGACTTTCCCTCCATCAGCCTGCCCCAGCACAGATTGCCCACCTTTTCCCACAAATTGTCATTGGTGGTGAACCCCTGGAAAATGTTGAGCATTTCTCTTACTTTGGTAGTCATCTCTCCCAGACCGCTAATCTTGATGTGGGGATTGAGCATAGGATCCATTGTGCCAGAGCATTCTTCAGAAAGTTGCTCCATTGTGTCTTTATTGACAGAGATCTGCGAATGGAAACTAAGATCCCAGCCTACAATGCCCCACTCTTTTTTTATGGGTGTGAGACATGGGTGACACACCAAAGCTATCTTAAGTGTCTGGAGTGGTACCAACAGTGCTACCTTAGGTAGATTGTCCGTATCAGATAGGAAGACCATCACACCAATGCCAGCATTTTCTCTGCGGCTAACATCACCAGTGTTGAGGCAAAGATTATGTATCAACAACTTCGCTGGGCTGGTCATTGTGTACTGATGACTGATGCTCGTCTTCCGAAGCAAGTCCTCTTTTTTCAACATAGTCATGGTAAGAAGACCCATGGGGAACAGAGGAAATGCTACAATGACTCCCTGAAAGTATATCTTAAGAAGGGAGGCATTGATCCCATGAACTGGGAAGAGCTGTCTGGCAATGGCATCACATCATACATCAAGCCTTAGCCTGTTTTGAAGAGAATCGCCTTGTTCAAGAGGCTGAGAAACAGCAGAGGAGGAAGGAAAGTGTACAGCATCCCGACCAGCAATTGTGCTCTCTCCAAGCAACTACCTGTCACATGTGGAGAAACCTGTAGAGCAGGGATTGGACTCCTCAGCCATCTTAAGTCTCATCAATGACTTTTCCTCCTGGCAGACATCATCCTCGTATCGAGGGACAGCCAACGACACTTGTATGGAGGGAATGCTGGAATCCTGTCTAGAACATTTTTTTTAAAAGATCACAACTTACACTGCTGTGAATTTACAGATCATTTTTAGATATTTGACTACTGCAAAATTGCCATGTACTTGATCACTGGAATACACTACTTAATTTTTTGTTGTTCTTGTTCCTGACAACTATTAGATGCAAATCATTAAAGTTACAAGGAATAAAAATGGATCAAACATACATTAGCCCTGTCTAATGATTGGTTAAGATTCTGTTCAGTTATATCAGTGTAAGTCTGGAGGCGATGTTGTTGTTTATTACCCATTATTGTGTTACAATAACACCTAGTGGCCCCAACCAAGAATGGAGGTAAATTGTACTAGGCACTGTAAAGATACATAGCAAGGAATAGTACTTGTCCTGAAGAGTTATCTGGATAAATAAAGGTTCTCATTTGGCATGAATGGAATTTACACATAATGCAGAGCAGTGTATCTTAGAACAGAACCTGGTCCACTCTCTTCCTATTTTGACCAGTGCTCAGGCTTGTGGGAAAAAAATCATTCTGTATCACTTAAATGCAAAGAAAATGAATTTAAGGGATGTGTATTAAGAATTTTGTTATTTGTTTATTTATTTACTTTTTTAAAAAGATCAGGAGAAGGAATCTTTCATGCAAATATAGCGAGTGACTGGCATTTTAAAGACCCGTGTGAGCCCTTGTATAAATAAATACTTAGTATATTTTAAATACCTACCTGTTTGGAACAGCTCTAGTTACTGTGTTTTAGAAATAAATTCATTGGAAATTATTTACCTGATAGATCACAATGATGAATGGTTGCAACAAATCCACAAAGACACTTTTGGGAAAACTGGTACAGATAATTTCACCAGGAGCTAATATAAATAAGTATTTGTTTAAGGGGCCTTAGCTACACACGAACAGAGGCTACATTTTCAAAGCTAACTAACTGTTAGGGGTCTGTTGCTCTGCAGTAGTCTCTCAAGCCCACCTAATGGTTACCTAAGGAGCTTCAGACATGATGCAAAGTCTTTGAGGATGAAGGTATAAACAAGGGGTGGGAGAGCAATAAGGATCCACATAATAAAGGAGGGAGAAATGCCAGTCCTAAGGTGGCAGTTTCTCTTATTCAGATGGGCACGTACTACAAATGGGGCTATTTAACTACATAAATGTTGTATGTGCTTGTTTCCTCATAGGAAAGTGGCATCTTGGGCTGAACTGTAACAGCAGGGATGACTTCTGTCATCACCCCCTCAATCATGGATTTGATTACTTCTATGGGCTCACCATGACCAGTCTTAGAGACTGCAAACCAGGGGAAGGCAGCGTGTTTGTGGCAGGGGTTCGAGCATACCTTGCCACACCACTTCAGCTCATCGGCATTACCCTAATCTGTTTGGAGGTGCTGCATTATATTGGCCTCCTCAGAATACCCCATGGAGCACTGCGCTACTTCTTTTTAATATCTACAGTTTTATTTGGACTTTTGCTCATTTTCTTTTATACTTTTCGATATCTAAACTGCTTCTTGATGAGGAACCACCAGATTATCCAGCAGCCACTGTCCTATAAGAACCTTACTCAAAGATTGACAGAAGAAGCTGTACAGTTTATAGGAAGGTAGGTTGGTTTAGTCATGTTATGACTTCATGCCAGCAGTTCACTGTCATAATGCTGCTTTAAAAATATACATATAGACGGGTGGATGAAGGAAACAGTGTCATTATGTAATACTGTCATTTTTCTCTAGATTTAACAAGTCACTAATGAAAGTGAACCATTTAACAATTGGATGCATATGAAAGGCTAAGAAATCTAGGTGCACATCCTCCATAATCTCTTCAGTATATTGTGTTAGAGGCATAATTGTTTTTCCCAGGCAAAATACAAAGACCCAGATTTTTAAAGGTATTTATGTGTTGCTCTTCTCAGCATTGCAATACCTAAACTGATTAAGGAACCTAAGTCTCATTTTCAGACTTGACTGACTTTCAATGAGATTTCAGCTCCAAAGAGCCTAAGGCCCAGATCCTCAAAGGTATTTAGGTGCCTAACTCGCACTAATGTCAGTTATGTTGTTTATATTTTCATCTTTAAAAATAACAAGATACGTTCATAGGTAACATTCCATTAAGCAGTAAATATAAGTTTGGGTCCTACATTCTTCTTTATATGTTCAGTGTGACTTAATAAATATAGGAAATTGTTGCCGGAATTCAGTATCTTTTGAAATGTGATTCAAAGTATTTTCAGTATTCAAAAATGCCATGTTAGATAAGTTATTGCAGTTCTAGATATGTGATCTCTGAGCATGTTGGACTGGAAAAGTGTTGGTGTTCAGTTGTATGTGGCCTTCTGGGTACATCCATTAAATTAGACTTCTGTGGTCTAAATTTTTAAGAGAAAATAGTGATTTTGGGTGCCTTAATTTTTGGGTGACACATTCATAAGTGTAAATGAAGTTGTATTGTATTATATTTCACACTAGTGTTTAGAACTGCCAGAGAAGAGAAATCCAGATCACCAGTTGGTCTAACTTGGCATAGTTTAATTGGAGCTGAACTGATAAATTGAGGATCTGGTCTGCAAGACAAAAAGATGTTAAGGTGGAATTAATAGCACATTATTTTTGGTATTTAGGGTAAATTATGTTCTGGCCTTAAACTCTATGACTATAGGTTCAATTAGACAGTGTCAGAGCCAGTGTATGAAAACAAATACTAATTTTGTTGCTGATTACCTCCATTATATGGAGGCAGGTCAGTTCAGTTTATATTAATTCTAATTATCATTTTTCCCCAAAAGCAGGTTTATATACATATGGTATAAACCTATCAAAATATACATGAGGCATTATGCTATATTTGGAAGTAAATGGATTCTAATTATGTCATGTTAAGTTCAATGCAGTGTTGTAGCCATGTTGATCCCATGATAATAGAGAGACAAGATGGGTGAGGTAATATCTTTTATTGAACCAATTTCTGTTGGTGAGAGAGACAAGCTTTTGAGCCACATAGAGCTCTTCTTCAGGTCTGGAAAATGTACCCACAGTATCACAGCTAAATACAAAGTGGAACAGAAACCCATGCAAGGTACCATTAAACAGTTACAACCCATACTCGATGGGGACCACATCCTGAAAGATATCTTTCATGAACCCCCTCTTCTGGCCTTCATATCACCCCTCAACCTCTCCAAGCTCACCATCAGAAGCAAGCACCCCTCAGACCAGGGCACACCAACTCAAAGTGGCACCAGATCCTGCCAGAATAACATATGCAAAACCTGTAGACATAGCCCCACTGTTTCTATGATCAACACCCCCCCCACACACACACAACACACCTTTCAAGATCCAGGGGTCCTACACATGCCTATCACAACATGTGGTGTACCTCATCCAGTGCACTAAATGCCGCAATAGTAACTATGTGGGTGAAACCAGACCACCACTATGCTCTCGAATGAACTCACACAGGACAATGATAAAAGAGAAAAACACCATCTCTCCTGTGGGTGAACACTTTTCACAAAGTGATCACTCTGTATCTGACCTCTCAGTCCTCCTTCTCAATGGAAACCTGCACAACCCTTTCAAAAGACAGGTCTGGGAGCTTAAATTCATAACTTTGCTACATACTAAAAATCATGCACTGAATAGACACTGAATTTATGGCTTATTACAACAATATGTCACCCATTAACACCTGCTCAGCTTTCCCCCCCTCCTTTCCCCACTATGACTGGAGAGGTGTTAACTGGCCACTTCACCTTGACTGGTTCCTTGAAATATGTATAACTATTTATGCTAAACAATCTGTTCCACCTTTGTATTTAGCTGTGACACTTTGAGTACATTTTCCAGATCTGAAGAACTCTGTGTAAGTTCAAAAGCTTATCTTTCTCACCAACAGAAGTTGATTCAATAAACAATATTACCTCAGCCACCCTGTCTCTGCAATGCTAAGTTCAGTGCAGTTATCACTTATGCCTAAGGATATGATTCTGTCACGGAGGTCACAGATTCTGTGACTTTCCAGGACCCCCAGGACTTCTTCTGGGGCAGGGCTGGTACAGCAACCCCAGGGCTGAAGCAGCAGTTGGGGTTGGATCAGTCCACTGGGGCTGGAGCAGCAGCTGTCACTCACTGCTGCAGGAGCAGCAGCAGAGCTGGAGCAGTGGCCAGCAGTCACTGCTGGGGCTGCTGGAGCAGAGATCTCTGGGGCTGCCGGAGCAGCAGCCTGCAGTCGGCCCCTGGGACTGCCAGAGCAGCGGTCCCTGGGGCTGCTGAGCAGCTGGCCGGTGGTCAGGAGCAGCGGTCTCCAGGCCACCGGAACAGTGGCCGGAGTTCAGCCCTGAGGCTGCCGAAGCAGCTGGGCAGTGGACTAACTGCCGGAGAAGCGGTCCCCACAGCCAGCAGCTGTCCATTGGGTTGCCGGAGCAGCAGCCAGAATTCAGTACCGGGACCGCTGGAACAGCTGGGTGATGGGCTGACCACTGGAGCAGTAGTCCCCGGACCCCTGGAGCAGCAACCCCCCTGGAGCTGGAGTCCCCCTGGAGCTGGAGTTGGGTCAGCACCCCTGGAGCTGGAGCAGCAGCAGGGCTGGAGCAACTGCTGGAGGTCAGCTCCCGGCAGTGCTCTGACCATTAGCCCCCCGCCCCCAGGGTATTTTTACTAAAAGCCAGGGACAGGTCATGGGCTTCTATGAATTTTTGTTTATTGCCCCTGACCTGTCCTTGACTTTTAGTAAAAAAGAATCTTAACCTTACTTATGCCTCATCAGCACATTGTTTAGTAAATGATCTGGTGCACAGGCAATCCAAAATTTCAAAATGTCAGAAGCATATTTTAAACTTCTTTGGAATTGGCAGGGTAAAAACACCTCCATGTTCTTTCAGCATAAATCTCTCTACTTAATTCAGATGGCTGACCACCATTCATGGGGGAAACCAGTGAAATCAGACTTTTTGAAAAATTATATTTCCATAGATAAAATAGGCTCATAACTGAGAGTTATGGTGATAATGCTACTTGAGCATTTTTCATGCAGATACAGATGAAGCCTCCTCTCTAACGTCATGGATTGTATAACCATAATTCTCTGAAGTCTCTGGTGACAGCTAATAAACATATCATTAAAAGAAATTACCTTTTATCCTATTCTATTCCAGTCACAATTTGGCATAGTCAAAGCCCTGAAACACATTTATCTCTCATCCTCTTTAGCACAGCTGTGAGTTAGAGCTTTTTGATGTATCACCAAGGCTTAAAAGCAGGCACCAGGCATGCTGTACAGGTCTCATTTTGTACCAAAAATTACTGTGTTCATAATTCTAGGATTTTAAAAACTCTGAAATCAGATGCTTTTCATGACTCCTAAAGAAACTGACCAGCTGATTAAGGCAAGACACTCATGTACTTGGATGTAGTTTATTGTATACATATGAATGTATCTATCTGTACAGTTTAAAAAAACCCGGATGCATTAGTATCTGATTGATCACCACCTGCGTACTTTACTTGTATGTTTTCCCCTTACCTCTGCCCTCTTTCTGTTTTGTTGCTTCAGAGTGTAAGTTATTTAAGGAAGCAATCATGCCCTCTTGTGTTTGTACAGCTTCTTACACTCTGTGGGTGCTACTGGAAATAAATAATTAAATAAATAATTTAGGAGTCATTTTGTCAGCAAGCTAGTGACACAGTTTGCTAGTGAGCAGTTGTAACAAGCATTGGAGCTGTATTTCTGTATTGGGTTCCATGCATGTTTGGTTTTTCAGTTACAAAAAACTGTGGGTGGATAAGGAATCTTAAATGTTCTTTTTGCCAGAAAGAATCATTCAAACATTTTCTTTTGCGGGGGAAAAGTCTGCATATATGCCCATAAACTACAAGGAAAGGAAACTATGTGTATGAATACAGTATATCTTAAGCATTTAAAGCTGACATGGGTATTAAATTGCAGATGTCAAAAACATGCTGGCAATGTGACTGCTTGGAAAAATCATTTAACATAGGCAGAGATAACAAAGACACATCCCAGTTTAAAATATCTTCCTAGTCACAGCCAAGTTTCCCATTTTCTCATACACACCAGTTTTTTTTTAAAGCCACCCCAAAATGCTCCACAATTCCTTTTTCTTGTCAAAATATTACAAGTGTGAGATGTTTAGCTTATTTTAGATCATATCTTTAAAAAATCAGAAAGATTTTTTTATTTTTATTTTTCAGAAAACAACCAGGTTTTTAAGCAGAATGAAAGTGTACAAGAAAAATGAATTTCTGACACAAGGACCCAATCTAAGGAGCTGATCCTGCTTCCATGAAGTCAATGCAAGTTTTGCCATTTACTTCTAAAGGAGCAAGATTGAGCTCTAAATGAAATTTGTACAATCGGTACAGCCAGAGAGTGGTAGTCTGATCTTGAAGTGGGTGCAAGTAGCCTTAGCGAATAAGCATGGAAAGAATTCACTAATGAGATGAATTTTAAAGAGGTTTAAATGGGGAGAAGAACGGTTAGTGAAAAAAGGGGAGAGAGGGAGTACCAAGCAGAGAATTAGTTACTGCAAAATATCAGTTAGATTTGCACCCATAGATACAGATATACTGTTACCTGTTTATGCCCAGAATATCTTGACATTCCTACCTATCAGATTGCTCCTCAGTCACTTATGTTTGATGCCATAGGTATACATTGGGTCAGATTCTCAGCTGGTGTAAATCATGTAGCTCTATCAAAATCAATGGAGTTATACCGATGTACACAAACTGAGGCTCCGGCCCAAGGATGTTGAATGTATGTAACTGTGTGGCAAAATTTGGCCAGCAATATTTTTAATATGATGCATCAGCTGGAAAGTTTGTAGCTTGTCTTTCAGATTGCAGGTTGATTTGGAAGTCATTGTGAGGAAATAAAAATGGAGCCTGTGATGTCATATTTACATTCATTTGCCAGTTTTGAATAACACTCACACCTACAAAGTGTGAGCCCCCATTTGCTGCTCTACTACAGTGGCACTAGGCTAATACTGTTTGCCACACTGGACATATTTGTGGTGACAATCAATGATGCTGATGCACAAAAAGAAGTAATGAAAAGACGGGTAGGTTGCTTTCTGTGGCATTCACAAGGCAATAAATGGGAGAGGGAGAATTATGGAGCTGAATCTCATTTTTTACTAAGTGTAAAAGGGGGCTATAAAGTAGGGGTACAACTTAGACCCACATGAAGGCCTAGAGCAAACTAAAAAGACCTTAGTGTCAATAAGAATCAGGCCCTACAACAGAGAGAATAAAAGAAATATGTAGATGATATCACAAATAGCTACGTATAGATTTAAGAATGTCTAATGACATTTATATGGCTTCTCTTTACTGAATTGGAAAGATTGCATGTTTCATGTCAACATAAGAATTTCTTGCTGTACTTTCAGCAAAGGAAACTTAGATATGTTGAAACTGAAAGCTCTCTCTTAGCATGCATACAAAATAGCGGCAATAAATTTTCAAAGGAGATTTGACTGAAGTGCTCCAGTTAGTAAAATAGGAGTTAAATTGTTATTGTCAAATCTCCCTTCCACCTACTAGCTGAGATGCCATTCCATTTTCATGGTTGCAGTAGAAGCAGTCAGTATTCTCCTCAAAGAGTCTTGGCATGAGATAAATGACTGTCTTTAAAAGATCAAAGGATATTAATAGGCAAGACTCCTCTTCACCTGACAGACAGCTGTCAGTCAGAGCTTGTCAATTTGAGCTGCAACCTGTAAGAAGGAAGTTTTGTTAACCCAGTAACATACCTAAACCACCGCCCCACAGCTGGAATACCAAATGTCATGCTTATTGCTGAAAGCAGATAGAAGGGCCTTTCTGAAACCTTAGCGCAGTTAACCAACCAGGATGGGAGTGGTGGAGTGAGTGACCACAAGGAGCAAACATGACCCTGTGCCCTCCTGACTTGAGCTTTTTCTGAAGCATGTTGTTTTGCGAGATGGAAAGTCTGGCAATAGTTAACTATTGCTAAGTGAGATAAAGCTGGTTACCTGATGGAAAGCTACACACTACAGGCTAGAAAACTCCATACTTAATTTAGCTTCTGCTCAGCCATTGTTTTTTGTTAATAAAAAAGCTATGTAATACTAACAAATTGGATATAAAAAGAGAAGAAATCTGAGCTTGATGGACACTTGAACATCTGTCAAATTCCCCTGCAGACAGAAGCTGGCCACCAGATATCTAGTTATCCACTTGAGACCTCCTCAAGACCCTGGGTGAATATGAATCTGGGGGTAATTTGGGGTGCTCTACTAACCTGTTGGACATGTGTATGTGCTGGAGACTAAATAAAGTAGAGCACTTTTGTTTGCCTGCTTGCATCAACTATCTATCAGCTGGATGGCTGTGTCCCCATTGATTTATTTCCTGCCACCGCCTTGCAAAGAGTAAAGTTATCAAGAGCTTTGGGTTCAGCAAAACCCTTGGTAACAAAACCAGTGAAATGATTTTGAGTATACCTCTTCATGAAAGTTAGATCTTTGTCATAGTGGCATTTTTTTAATATTATTTATGTTACAACTGTCATCTCATGAAAATAAGCACTTGTTACGGATGCGGTGATGCTCACCTTTAACGGTATTGATGTAAATGTAGCTGTAGCAATTCTGCTATGTTGTTAGAAAGTGACAGTTTGTATGCAATTTAAGTTATCTCTGATACTAATAGTTGAAAATCTATTTTTAAGTGATGGGAAGAATATATGAGAAATTGTGTTATTCCCAGTTTATGGTAATCTTTATTTTTGTGACTTCTCCTTTCCCAAATAATCTCCCAGGCACACATCCTCAAAGATATTTAGGTGCCTAACACCTACTGAAATAATGTGAGTGAGGCACCTAAATACCTTTGAGTATCTGTGCCTAATTAGAGCTGAACAGATAAAAATCTAATATAAAATAAATCATCTGCCTGGTAGAAGTATTTAACTAAAGGACAAACCATATTTTATTAGAAATGTTGCGGAAACTTTTAAAACATCACTTAAGATTGGGTCTTGCCTACTATAGGTAGCCCTTAATGATTTGCCCATACAGAGCATAGATGAGACAATATCATAAACCTAAACAACAAATAATTGACCTTGAAATGCAAGTTGAAATAGGTTTGTTTTCTCTTGAACCTTAAATGCTGACATGCTCTAAAAAATTTTAATTTGACTTGAAAGAGTCTCCTAAATAATTTGTAGTTACATTAATTAAAGATTCTGTTAACATGAGACTTCGTTTATATTCTAGCAAATTCCAACAAATCATAAGGATAAGAGTGACATTCTATACCTTGCAATACATTGATCTCTTATAAAAAAACATTTTTCTTTAGGGATTTTTTTGCTCACAAAGTTTATCCATCATTTTACAAAATTAGTAAAAAAAATACAAGCCAATATAAACATAGGCAGACAGAGAGAGAAAATGAGAACCAAAGACCCAGATTGTCCCCTCCCACAAAACCTATAAGACAACTGGGAAGTGTAGTCCAGTGTAGTCCATCTAGGGAACCTGGCCTATAGAGTAGAATCTGAATTACATGACGCATTTGAGTTATCACTCCCAAGGCATCATGGCATATTTCCAAATCATTGATATATAATTTTTTTCAGATGAAAGGTGTTCAGCTTTTCAACAAAACATCAACATTTTCTTCAGAAAGCAGACATTTTTATGAGGAAAAATTCATCTAGTCTATAAATCAAATTTCCATCAAAAACAGTTTTGATGGAAAACTTTTGATGAGCTCTGGCCAATATGTGCTCATAGAATTAAGACTGGATGTTTCTTCTAAAAGATATACTCTGGGAGTTATTTGGGGCAAGTTCTATTGCCTGTGATATACAGGAGGTCAGACCAAATGATCACAGTGGTCCATTCTGGCCTTGGAATCTATGAATTCTTGGCCTGCAGAAGGGAGAATTTTTACCACAGATCTCTCATGAAAACAGCCACAGCCAACGGGAAGGGAGTGAAGTGGACAGATAAATAAATACACCAGAATAGTTTATTTGTTTTTCTTTAGAATGATTTATGGGTATTATAGCAATTCCTTTCATCAGTGGGCTTTTCACAGGTTTTACAGGCCCTTTAGGGCTGAAAAAAAGAACCTTCCTAGTTCAAAGGTTAAAAGTTTATTGCATTGTTTTCCTTACCTCATGTCCAAATTTGGCTTTCTGGCTCAGCACGTTAATATTGTATTTTGTTGTTGGGTTTTATTTGTTTGTTTGTTTGTTTTGGGGGGGTGTTGTTTTTAACCACCAGAAGTTCAATAAGTACAAACAGTATGGGATAGGGAAATGTACAACAGAAAAAAACTGCTCTGACCTGTGTGTTGCAAGGTGCCAGTCTAGACACACTGTACCCTAGCTGCTCTTATGGTTCAGCTGAAATTTACAGTGTGTGGAATATCATAACAATAAGCTCAACTAGTAATTGTTAATACTCTGAGTAATGTCCCCCACACTAGAATTGTAATGCAAAAATCCATACTTATCTAAGCTTTCCCTTCACAGCCTTCTGGATTAAGCCATATATATTGTCAGATCCCATAAGGAGCAAAATTGAAGCTCTGTTGTTGTTGTTGTTGTTGTTGTGGGGGTTTATTTTTTCCTTTTTTTATTAGAGAATAATCCATTGAGGAAATGGCTTGAAATGAATGGAGAGTGGATATTGTTACAAGAGAAAAAATATTTTTTCTACCTCTCTATATATTAGGCATAACTTTTGTAATGCTATTGTGTTTGGTTCCGGGTGATAGCTATATATTTTTGGTCCCTATTGCTCATGCTAACCCTGTTAGTTGTTAAATGTCCATATGTTGAGATTGCCAAGAAGAAAGCTGGCTAAGCATCTTGTTTGGTTTGGGGATTGTATATCTTTTAAACTATGCATTGTTCTAGTGCTTCCTGGTGAGGTCAGAGAGAGCCTGAATTGGTAATAACGTGCAGAAAGAAAGGCAAGTGGCTAGGCACTTTTAGTGCCTGACTCTGTACAGTGGTTGTGCCAGTGCTTTTTAAACAGGTATAACAACTAAAAATCCAACAGAAGGGTTAACTTGTCTGTATTTCTTATCTTCAGTACAGTATGTATTAAGAGTGGCATTTCTAACACAAGATTCAGGATTGCTCTATAAATGATTTTGTTAGTCCTTCCCCTATATAATATTTCTTCTGTTCTATAGAGCATGCATGTAGAAAAACTTCATTGTTAGAAATGTTGCTAAAATTTTATTGCTGTCCAAGTGAGTTACTTCGGGGGGGTTTATTTTATTTTATTTTTTTAATTTATTTTTATTTATTCCAGGAACGCTGATGCACCATTTCTTCTTTTCCTGTCCTACCTTCAAGTCCACACTGCTCTATATGCATCAAAGGATTTCAAAGGAAAGAGCAAACATGGCTTATATGGGGATGCTGTAGAGGAAATGGACTGGAGTGTAGGTATGTTGCACATTTATCTTAAACGAGTTTAAAAATTTTCACAGATGTTTCTTTAATCTTCATTAGAAATTTGTGACAATTCCACTGCATGCAAAATCTGCTCTGGTAAGGGGAAGACTAAACAATTACTATGTATTAATACTGGTTCCTTAGATGCTGTGTCATGCTCAGATGCTATTGATACTGTGTCCCCCTTGGTATCATATGAAGTCAGTATAAATTCTGCATGCTGCAAGTCATCAGAGTGAAAGCTGAGTTAAGGAGACTTCATAGGGCTGTCATCAAAAGAACTAACGATAAAATAACTGCAAAGTCTTAATATGTACTGTTATTGTTAATTCTTAGTAAGCACAATATATAATGAGTAATTCTTCCGTATTGGTGAAATCAGTCAAGTAGGGTCCACTTCTCTGGGCACAATACAGCTAAAAGGCAAATAAGTCACCTCTCAAGGCACAGACCCTCTGATGTTGCAGAGAGCAGTAAGTTATCAAATTGTTCAACGGGCCTGCTTTATTTCTGGGCATTTTGGAATGACTCTCCATTTCTAGAGGTAATCACCTGTGAAAACAACTCACAGTTCATACTTGAAACAATCAGGCGAAAGTAGAACAGTACTAAAAGATAATGAACATCTTGCATTCCTCCTCCCTACCTGACCCAAGCCAATTCTGGTTTTAGTAAAGCCAAGTAAAAAATTACTTTCTTCAAATAAGCAATATTTACTAAATTACTATAAACAGACTTTCATCTCAATATTAGATGCATGCTTAATAATACGCTTTCAAACAATGTATTTTGATTGCAAGCATGTAGAGTTCAACTCCATACACATTTCTATTCATCTTATCAAGAAATTCTGACTACAAATGGCAAGGGATGAATGGGCTGCAGTGATTGTTCAGCAAAGTACATAAAGGGATTTGTAATATAAATAGGGCAATATTTGAATAGATAGGTAAAAAACATGGAAGTTGTGAAGCATTTTAAATGGGACAAGTATCCTTCTTGTATGCAACTGGACCTCAAAAACTGTTCTATATATGAAGTTTATTCAAGTGAGGGAGACTTGCACTGAATCTTCCTTACGCCCTCAACTTTCACCACTCCTCCTGGTGCTATGGTAATCACTATGACTAAGTTGGTTGTTTACTACAATCTTAGCATTAGACTGCCATATGTTTGGTGAACATTCATGTTGTCATGCCCTCCAAACCATTAGCATGTCTGGGACATCATGTCTTTTCCTCTACCTCTGCTTCCAGTTTGGGGTCTTCATACACAGTGGTAAGGATTAGGCAAATCTAATTCACTACTTGTTACTGCTAATCGTTACCTCAGCTTAACTTTGTTCACCTGTTGAGACAGTTTACAGTTGTGGCCACTGAATACAAGCAACTAGTTGGAGACAAAAGCAACAGACTAGCTGTTCCTGAAGCACTAGTATTGTAGAGTTGTTTGTAGATTGAGTGTCTCACTTACCTCCGGGTCCGGCGGCAGGCAATCGATCTTCTGGGATCGATCCCGGAAGTGCTCGCCGTCAACGCCGGTACTCCAGCTCGGCGAGAGGAGTACGCGGCATCGACGGGGGAGCCTGCCTGCCACGTCTGGACCCACGGTAAGTTCGAACTAAGGTACTTCGAATTCAGCTACGTTATTAACGTAGCTGAATTTGCGTACCTTAGTCCGAAGTGTGGGGTTAGTGTGGACCAGGCCTTATATTCAAAGGTACCACTGGACTTTCAGAAAATACTTTAAACATACCAAGCAGCAAGTTGCAACATCAAAAAGATATAGTTAAAACAATTTAGGATATACCAGGTAGCCAGGATCTGGCTTTATTCTCCTAGATGTTTTGAACCATATGTACTCCATATTAAACAGAGATAGTTCCAGTCATGAGATAGTAAGCAACCTCTGTTCTTCCTCAGACTCTATTTCACTTTTCTTTTCTTTTCTTTACAATATGCCATAAAAGGATGAGTAGCAGCAGAGCTACACACCCAGGGCCAGATCCTCAATTAGTGGAGCTCTGCCAGTTTATCCCAGCTGAGGATCTGGTCCCACAGTCTGGCTGTTTGGTGAGAGTGATTTGTTCTCAGGTTGCGTATTTGCTCCAAATGAAAAAGGGAAATTTTAAGTTCTTATGGATACATTCTCTTCCATACTTACAACTATAAAGAAAAGAACTGGTGCTGGGATTTTCAAAGGAGCCTGAGGCAGTTAGGTACCCAACTCCCATGGAAATAGGCACCTAACTCCCCTAGGCTCCTTTAAAAATCAAAGCTTAAATGCCTGAGAGTAAGAGTAGGTCTGACAAACTAGACATTTAATGTATTGCTCACATCAGTGGCCAGCACACCAACTTTGATTTCTACTCTGGTACCTCTTCAGCATCTGTGCTAGGAAATACAAACAATATTAGCTGGAACAGCTGGCCTGAAAAAGTGCAAAGCTGCAAATTTCCCTTAAAGGGAAGTTTGATCCTCTATCGACCAAACATAAGTAACTAGCTACACAAGAAAAATACAAATTGGGCAGGGGGGACCACAGAAATGTCAACTTGACATGAAGGGTTGATTCACAAAAGGACTTAGGCACCTAACTGCCACTTTAAGTACCTACATCGCAGAATCAAGCCCCACTAGGATTCACAAAGCCCCCGCTTAGGTGCTACCAAACACTGTAGACTTCTAAACTCAGTCAACGCCCAATTTTTTGCTGTAAAATTTCCCTAAGTGCCTATGTTTCTTCTGTTCATGCACACTGCAATCCCATGCCAGTTATCTGGATGCCTAAATCCCAGTGTGATGCATGAATCGGGGAAAGATAGGTGTTCCTCCACTTCACTTGCCAGCAAGGCCCCATCTGGTAAGCATGCTCCGAGCTCATCTACTCGATCAGGCCCCTGTAAATTACATGCTTACACAAAACAGCCAGGGCGGAGGTGGACCTCCCTCATAACTTTTAATCCAGTGGTTAGAGTACTAATGTGGGATGTGAAAGACTCATGGTTCAAGTCTCCACTTTGCTGGAGGGGAGAAGGAATCTGAACTGGGGTGTACGACCTCTCCGGTGAGGGCCTGAACTGTAGGGCTATGAGATATTCCTAAGTGGGACTTTCTCAGTCTCTTCTGTTGAAGCTGTTCCACTGTGGATAAATCATTTAAGAAAAACTGAAGCAGGGGAATTGGATCCTGGGTTTCCTTTCTCCCAGGTGAGTTCTCTATCTACCATGCTAGAGTCATTCTCTTGCTTGCTGCTCTCTCTCTGGTCCAATGACTCCTTCATTATTTGTCTACAGTGGAACAGCTTCAACTGGAAAAATGGAGGGAGCAACCCTTCTTCCCCCATCAGAATATCTTATAGCCCAATGGCTAGGGTATTCATCTGAGAGGTGGCATGTTCCAGTTCATATCCCTCTCTCTCCTCAGGGCTTGAGTATCCTAGCCACTGGCCTAAAAGTTGTCTCCCTCACCATCATGTGCCTAACTTTCTTTGTGAATATAGCCCAAAATCTTTAAATTAAAAAGTAACCTAATTATAGCCGGGCAAATAGAAAGTATAGAAAACCACATTAGAGCACTTAACTTGAAACTGGACACACCACCCTCAGTTGAGTACTTGAGAAACATTTTGCTATTAGTCTTAAACACGGTCATCCATGAGCTGCTCAATGTGGGGAAATGTCACAGAAAATCTTTGTTGGTGGGTAATGAGAAAGTGCGAACAGCTGTACTGCAGTTGTGACTGTCAGATTCCAGAGATTAAGAACTTGTGTCAAAAGCAGAAGCATGAAGGTGAATGAAAATTGTTCCCTGATTTTTTTGAGACCAGTAACTCAGGTCAAAAAGAAGGATTTCGCTTTCATAAAGTACTTAAAGTAAGGAGAAAGCTTCTTAGTTGTGTCTATCCAGAGTGAGAATCTTCAATTAAGGAAAACTCTCCATTTTTTGAGAATCACCTAACCAACTCTTAAAATAAATAGAGAGTTTTCCTTCTTAATTTTAGCAGGGAAGTTGACACAAAAGCAGGTGGATGAAATACTTTAAAAAAAAAATTATGTTTGAGGCATGTTAAATTGATACTTGATGATTATGATTACAATCCATGTCCCAAATACTAAGTACAAGCTCACAGGATAAGCTTTAGGATCCTGTATTTCTACTGCTCATGCATGTTTCATGTGTATATAACAGCATTCAGTGCTTAAAGAGTTCACAGTTTTAATGCTGCTTCATATGACATGCCTTGCAGGGTTATTTTCTGACTAGTTAACATTTTAAAATTTGTTTCAGTGTAAGATAAGTACCTTATTATTTATATTAATGATAGTTAATAGTTGTAGCAGGTGAAATAACCTCCCACTGTAAAAATGAAGGGGGTTGAAGAGACTATAATCCCTTTTTCTTGCTGTTATTTTTTTTAAATAACATAGTAGTGGATTTAATGTGGAAGTCTGAATGGATATGTGCTGAAATTATTTATGATAAAAATTAAACCACACAAATATAATCACTACAAAGAGTTCTGGAGCCACCTATAGCCTTATGTTACAGCTGTGTGAAGACATACCTCTTCAGCGCTCTCTTCTGTTCTCCTTATAGTGGTGGGTGGGGTCGGGGGTTCTAACAGAGAGCCTTTTATTCACTTGTAGAACAATCAGTGCTACATAGTTCACACATGCGGAAGAGCTAGAAAATGCTATCTATACTCTGTCACAAGCCAAACACCAGTAAGGTGTGGCCATTACATCGGGTATCTTTATTATTATAAAGAGAATTCCATGAACTTTCCAATAACATGAAAAACAGAATCTCCCCTCCCTCACCATATTCCTAAACAGATGTTGTCAACAAGGTGTACTTATGATGCTCATTATGAAAGGGGGGAGGAAACAAACCATTTTGGACATGAAGTTTCTGTTTGGGAATCTCTTTAATAGTGTGGATAGTTAGTGTAGAAGAGAAAATAGGTGGGTCCCACCTACAGTCAGTTCA